GGGAGGGAGGGAGGGGAGAAGGAGGGAAGGCCAGGGTCGCCCGGGCCGAGCACGGTCGGCGCCAGCCTCGCTGGCAGCCGCGGAGCCCCGCGCGCCCGTCGCACACCCGGCTCAGCTTGTACCGAACGTCCTATACGTAATGCGCGGGCAGCGGGCGGGCGGGCGGGCGGTGGGGCCGGGCTGAGTGTGGCGGGGCGCGCGGACTCTGTAGCGGACGGCACACGGAGCCGCACGTTTTTGCGTTCGGCTGCTTACTTCGGCTTACTCCGGCCTCACGATCGACTCGAGCCGGTGAAATATGCCGACGAGTCGCCTGCCGCGCGTGTCCTCGTGAAATGGAAACGAGGCGGGAGGAGATTTTCAGTTAATTTTCGGCCCGTCTGTGCTTGCCTGGACTGTACCGCGCACGCGGCCGCGGGGACGACGATGTGCTCGGCAGCGCCGCCGTGAGGGGCAGCCTGGGAGGACCTAACCGGCGAGAGTGCGGCGTGGACTCGGCGAGTGAGTGTTTCTGTGATGAGTGAGCTGCGATTGAAATGTGATACCGACGACTGGTGACCGACTTTGGATACCCAACCGCCCGGCACAAGGTAAGCGTGCGCGCGCCCCGCGGAGCTCCCGCCCAGCTGTCATCGCCCGCTTCAAGAACGTCGAGCGCCAGAGGAACGGGGCTGCCTCCAACTACCGGCGTGTCGCGTTTTGTGTCTTGTGCAGTAGGCTTTCAGAAATCGAGTGTTATTTTAGCAGATAACTGATTCTCGCCGACGATTTTAACGATATAAGCTGCCTTGACTCATTTTTGGTTCGCGTGGTCGTCCGTGACCTGTCAGTGGCTCCAGTTCTCCAGCCGCCCTTAGTCTAGTCAGGGCCTGTTGTATATCACTAACACCACGTGGACGTCTATGCTATGGCATGGAACGTCGTTATGACTTTGACGTGGCCGTTTTGCGTTGCTCGGGGTGCACCCGTCCGAACGTCACTGAACGGATCCAGCAGCGGCACCAGCCCCGACACCGTTCTCCCGTCGCCTCCGTGGAGGAACGTGTCCGATAACACATGCCGATGGCTGTTGCTACGGGAGCACCTCGCAGCCAGGGCGGAGCAAGAGGGGGGAAGAGCGAGCAAGGGAGAGCGAGCAAGGGAGAGTGTGCAGGGGAGAGCGAGCAAGAGGGTGCGAGCAATGATAGAGAGCGAGCAAGAACCCGGCGCTCCCGCCAAGGGGGCCTCCAGGGCGTCCAGCAGAGCTGTCCGCGTTCGCAGCCCCCCGGCAACGCCGCCGCCTGCTTGGCGCCAACGCCTCGCGCCGTCGCGGCACTCCACGCCACTCCACGCCACTCCACGCCACGCCGCTGGACCAGACCCCAGCTGACTTGCAGCTGATGAGAGAGATGGGCGCCAAGAGGATGCAGAGTGGACCATGCAGACAGACAGACAGACAGACAGACAGACAGACAGACAGACAGACAGACAGACAGACAGACAGACCAGAGGGGGGGGGGGGAGAACCGCGAGGACGAGATGGGCATGTCTCGTCACGTCACGGTTGAAAATAGACGATTGATAAAACGGAAGCCGAATTCGTATGGCGCGGTCGCGGGTGGCGGTACGCTGAGGGGGAGGGGGGGAGGGCAGCCACGGGCAGCCATTCACGACAATGTTATCGCGAACGTCCCAGCACTATGCGTGCGTATGTGTGTCTGTGTGTGTGTGTGATGGAAGAGGGGTGGGGTGGGCAGCAGAGCAGCCGAGTCATGGAGGTGATAAAATGAATAAGAATAGAAAAATCAGAGAAACGGTCGTGTCCCAGTGTTCAGCGGCCAGGTCACGCGTTGTTTACCTGCGCTTTACAGTAATGATTGTGTGCGTGTGCACGACACTGACGGTGCGGTTGTGCGCGAGTGGGGAAAGAGAGCCAGATGAGAGGCAGGCAGGGCGGCGCGGAGGCTGCGCTGGACCAGCTGGACCCGCGCGCAGTGCGCCCATACCGCCCATGCGCGACCCGCCCGCAGTGCACAACTTCCGGCTGAGCGCCAGGCCCGCGAGCCTCCGCCTGTGTACAACTTCCGGTCGCCCCCCCC